ATCGAAAATGTTATATTTAGAAGATAGTACAAGTAATTTTTTTTTTCAATTTCTAAGTTATTATAAAAAACTTGATAATATTTATGTATTTTAAGGGTCTCTTATTTCCCTCTTGTCTATATGTGCAATAAAAATAATAAAGCAATTTGATGTTGCAAGCGTGAACTCCAAACAATGTCAGAAAAGAAGAAAAAAGAAATTACTTGGAGTGTAAGATTTAATTTGGAACGAAGACTTAGAACTTAATTTTAAAATAACCTACACATACCCTCTAGTTATGCTAATAAATAGACTCATAATTTAACACAAAACTTGCGTAAAGTTAACTTTCCTACACTAATAAAACTTTCCTATTAAACTCATATGGATCAAAACTAAAATTCCTTGTTTGGATTAACCGATTAATCCAACAATCACCCCTTTAATTGGTTTGATCATTCCACTCTTTCACAACAATGTTTAATAACACCTTCTTTTTGAGCCGTCTCGATTCTTGACCTTTCCCGGACACCCGACCTCTACAACGGTCACATCCAAAGTCTTCTCTCAATCCATTTTATTGTTGATAACCGTTGAGTTTTGATACGAAATATAAGTTTGTTTTTCACAAAAACCGGCAACGGAAGACTTTAAAAATAACAAGTTTATTTTTAGTTCATAACAAAACCAAACCATCATGGATCCATTTATAGAGGTTAGAATGAAATAAAAAACAACTATGAGATGTTTTAGAGATAACCTTTGAAGCCTTTGAACCCACTTGGTTTTTGGGTGTTGATGAAGATGTAAATATCAAAGAACATGATCTTCTCTACAAGTATCCACCATCAAGATTAAGGCACTTGAAATGCTAGTTCCTTCTTGTATTCTTGAGTTTCTAAAGCCTTTAGGTGCTTACTTCGAATAAGCACTAAAGGATACAACTCAAGAGGGCTTCTAAACCACCAAACTAACTTCAAAAGAGAGAGAGAGGAAGAAGAGTAGAAAACCCACGGTTTTAGAGAGCATAAGAGAAGAAGAAGAGGTGTTTCACTTGTAAAAAATGCAAGTCTCATGCATCTCTTATATAGTCCATGCAAAGTAAGGCCTTTTTATTAAAATACTCTAAAGTATTTCTAGCCTTTAGAAGCATGGGAGACAAAGCATGGAGGTTGGAAAGCACCCCGCCATATTTTAATATTTTTGGCCACACCTCTTGAAAAGAGAAGGATTCTTTATTTTTTATAAACTCCAAGTTTATAAATTATAAACTTTGTCTTTAGGTAAAAGACAAAAGAATCCAACTAGTCCAAAATATTGTGACCCTATAGGATCATATATTATTAGCAATATCACTCCATAATGATTCTTGGGCATATAGATTCAACAATAACACATGTGGCATATACCATGGCATCTCTTTGGACATGTTCATTACCATCTCGACTTTTCTCAGATCAACAACCTCTTCCTTGGCCACATCCAAAGCCACCCGATTTGAACTCCAACGCCATAATGTTCACACTGTGTAGTTTCTCCAATCTATTCCTTTGTTTTGATAAGCTTTGTTCGAAGATGCATCTCCACCGACCAAGAAAACAAAGCCACCCGCTTCACCGTTTCCTTTCAACCTGGCAAACGAACTGAATCCAATAGCACCTACTTTAACATATGCTTCCTGCCCGCTTTTCACGCACCTACGTCGGTATCCCCTTATCACGAACAAACCGAAAAAGAATTGTGAAATACCAACAACAGCACCCCCTGCTGAAAACTTCTCGAAACAAACTATTATTTTATTGTAACTAACAGCCACAGACCGCCTATGTTCATCACCGGTCACCCCCGTCGTCCCGTACGATGTTCCCCTTCTCCCCACGACAACGGTCGACCCGAAAACACTTTCCTGTCTTTGTCTTCTGTTGTAAAACAGTCTTGAAACATCCCATGTTGTCCTAATTGCGACCCATATTAACAACCAAATAAGCTGCTAATATCTACCAACATGTCTTCTAAAACCAGTCAACCCACTTGTGCTTTCGCTGCGATGGCAACTTCGCACCCAAAGGGTCCTCCCCTTCGAAAGTCGACTCTCAAACCGACCCTCTTCAACCTTTGCTCTGATACTAAGTGTAAGTGCAATAAAAACAATAAAGCAATTTGATTTTGCAAGTGTGAGATCCAAACAGGGACATAATAGAAGAAAAAAGAAATTACTTGGAATGTAAGATTTAATTTGGAACGAAGACTTAAAATTTAATTTTAAAATAACCTAAACGTACCCTCTATTTATACTAATAAATAGACTCCAAATTTAACACAAAACTTGCATAAAGTTAACTTTCCAACACTTTTAAAACTTTTCATAACCTGCGACACCACAATTAGGATCCACCTTCACCCCCTCACCCTTTAACCCAAACCCACCCTATGCCATCGACCACCACCACTTACACCTCTTGCCGAAAACAAATAAACACCTGATCCCAGAAAAATCACGATAAAAATAAAGAAGACACCAAATCAAAATAAATCAAAACACATCACAACATGTATTCTTTTTGGGAATTTCAAATGATCGAACCTTAGTTCTTTTTCGAAATTTTAGAACACAAAAATCAAACCCCTACCAAGAAATTAAAACCCAGAAATTGAGGGCTTTATGTGAGAGAGAGTTGAGAACGATTCCTGTCAAACAGATGTGCAAGTGATGAAGGAAGAGTAGTAGTTTCAGGGGCGGCGATGGTAGTGACTTCAGGGTGGTGATGGTCGGATTTAGGGCACTGTGGTCGTACTCATGGGTGGAAGGTAGTGACGATGTGTAGGTGATCGAGGTTACCGACTGCAACGAGGGATAAGTTGGGTTCGAGATCCACAAGTCGTCTGCTCCGACGAGGTCACCGACTGCAACGACACCTCCGACAATAGAGAAGAAAGAAGATCGAGGAATTGCTCAGTTTGAGAACGGGAAGAATACACAAACAGTTGTGGTTGTGGCTCTGAGTCACGTCAAACAGATGACGCTCTTCTGCACTATCGTCGCGGTCTTCTGCACCATCAAACAAAGATAGTGGTGGTGGTTTCCGGCAAGGAAGATGGTTATCGATGTTGATTTCCAGTGAGAAAGAGGGAGGCAGAGAGTTTGGGGGTCAGGGGTTGAGCCCATGGAGTATGTACGCTAGGGAGGTTAAAGGGTTAAGTGGGCCCAACATATATTAAAACATTTCTTTTAATAGGTTAATAATAAATGAAACAAATAAAATAATCAATAAGGGTATTTTGGACGTAATAAAATCATATTATGGAGACGGTCCGAGTGCCAAAAAAACGTTAGGAACCAAACGCAAAATTTTGGCAAACCTCATAGACGATTTCAATAATTTTTTTTTTATAATATTATGCACAAAATCAAAATCGTAGGTAAAAGTCTAGCTAACAATTTAGAAAAAATCACAACCTAACCTTGACACTCCACATGTAATTCCAATGACTATTTTATTAACTTTTAAATAAATCTTTTGAAAAGTTATAACGAAATTTATAAAAGGGTGTTTAAGATTTATTTTTAATCTCCAAATTTTAACTTTTAAACAAAAACATCTATTGACTTATCATATGATAAGAAAAATAGTTTTTTATTTTTTAAATGTTTGGATTAGTTTTCTAATGAAAAAAAATCAATAAATCAATAAGTTATTTATTAAAAAATGTTTTTCTTAGCTTATAAATAATTTAAGATGTATTTTTTTTACAACCTAAAAAATTATAAAACTGTTTTTAAAAAATTACAAAAAAACCTTGTTGAATTCGTTTTTTAAAGGTTAATAAAAAGTTATTTTAAAGATTTTTTTTAGAACAATTTTTTGATTTATTAACTTAAAAAAAAAACCAATAATTCAATAAATTATTTTTAAATAAAATCTCAACTACCCTTTAAATTTAAAATTTTCATTTTTCAATTTTATATTTCTAAAACAATCATAATCGTATGCTAATTCAACATCACGCTCATTTAACTTGTAATTATATTTTTTTTATCAAATACTTTGATCTATCTATAAGAAGTTGAGGACACCTGGTCTTTAGCAAGTAGCAACACGAGGACTGAATCAAAAGAACTTCTGTCAACATTTGGTCAGACTCATCACGTTGAGCAACACGGGCAACTCAGTATTTTACTCATTTTCATCTTTCACTAATTTAATAACCAAACTACGAATTTCAATAAACATCCAGATTCGGATTTCCCCGAATAACACTATCCCCAGTTGAACTGAATCTTTGTTTTCTTCTTCTCCACCGTTCATGGCGGCAGATCTCATTTTCAGGTAATGCTTCACTTGCATTCTCGTTTTCACTTTATCGATTATTGTTTTCATCACTTCATCTTCTTCATTTTTAATCCGAGCTTCGATTGTTGATTTCAGATTCTTTATACATCAATTTCATTGTAATGCTACTTGAGCTTGATTATACAATCCTCCTTCTGTTTTCCAGGTTGCATCTGTGCTGCTGAATCTTCACAAGAATGAAAAACCTGTACAAATTTCTATCCTCGAGGGCTTGAAATCAAATGAAAACTCGGATTTGTTGAGATTTTGTTTAATGCCCAATTGATATCAATAGGGTGTCAAGAACATAATTAGGTTTTCCCTTTAATCATTCTGCTTTTCTCCTCCTGTTCATACAAAATTGCTGCTAAAATTAAGCTGTTCTTGTTAATGGGTTTCTGCTGTTACCCTTTATAAGCAACTTACATTAGTCAAAATCGAGCTTATTTTTTCTCAATGACTTCAATCCCTGAAAAGCGCGTGTTCTCCTCACGTTTGCTTTCATTCTTGATCTTCATTTCAATGTTCTTCATACTCATTTCTTCATCACTCCTCTTTCGAATTGGTGACAATTCCTTAGTACCCAAATCAATTTACAACCTAATTGTTGTTAATAGTGTCTCAAATGAACCCAAATCGATTTCTTGCAAAGAAATATGCCCCGACTCCATGCCAATCAAACCAGTTGCCTCTTGTGATCCAAATCAAGCTATTTTAAAAGTGTTTATGTACGATTTACCCCCTGATTTTCACTTTGGGCTATTAGGTTGGATAGGAAAACAAAATCAAATATGGCCAAATGTTGGTAACTTTAGTGAAATCCCTAAATACCCAGGTGGATTAAATTTACAACACAGCATAGAATATTGGCTCACACTTGATCTTTTATCATCAATCACTCAAAATGTTCCTCGATCTTGTTCTACTATTCTTGTAGATAATTCAAGTCAAGCTGATATCATTTTTATCCCCTTTTTTTCGTCATTGAGTTACAATAGGCATTCTAAGATTCAAGGGAATGAGCAAAATAGTACTAATGATATTTTGCAAGAGAGGTTGGTGGAATATTTGAAGGGTAGAAATGAATGGAAAAGATTTGGAGGAAAAGATCATTTGATCATGGCTCATCACCCTAATAGTATGTTGATTGCTAGATGGAAATTGGGTTCGGCTATGTTTGTGCTTGCGGATTTCGGTAGATATTCTAATGAGATTGCAAATATTGATAAAGATGTGATTGCTCCTTATAAACATGTTGTTAGGACTATTGATGCTAAAAAATCGCCTTCTTTTGAAGAACGCCCCACGTTGGTGTACTTCCAAGGAGCAATTTATCGAAAAGATGTGAGTTTTTCTATTTTTTTTTCTTTCATTTTATTATTTTCTTCGAATTTGAGTTTATGTTGATATGCAAAAATTTGTTGTATTGTTTAATAACTCGTCCCACATGGATAGAAAGTAAAAATTATGACCCCTTTGTAAACCTAAAAAATTTCACCATTCCTGATTCTCATGAGAGACTGATAATTGGCCATCTGAGATTGATTTTTCAGTCTTTAATACCTTTTTCCTTGTTCTCCACGGTTAAGTGTACTTACATGACGGTAGTACTAGAGAGACTGATTATTGACCATCTGAGACTGATCTTTTAGTCTTTAATACCTTTTTCCTTGTTCTTCACGGTTATGTGTACTTAGATGACAGTAGAACCGGAGAGACTGATTATTGACCATCTGAGAGAGACTGATTATTGACCATCCGATACTGATTTTTCAGTCTTTAATACCTTTTTTCTTGTTCTACACAGTTAAGCGTACTTAGACGAGAGCAGTACGAGAGACTGATTATTGACCATCTGAGACTGATTTTTCTGTCTCCAATACCTTTTTTCTTGTACTCCACGGTTAAGCGTAGTTGTACGCGAGTAGTACTAGAATGGGTGACACCCCCTGGGAAGTCCTAATGCCAGCTTGCCCAAAACGGACAATATTTTGGCACAATCACTTGGGATGTTGCTAAAAATATTTATATGCGTCTTAATTTTTTCGATAAATTATTATTTTTTCCAAATTTAACGTTCGCTTAAATCCAAAATCTTATGTTTTTCACAGGGTGGAGTGATTCGTCAAGAATTATACTACCTAATGAAAGACGAAAAAGATGTGCATTTCACTTTTGGAAGTGCTATTGGAGGTGGGGTCCGCACGGCATCCACAGGGATGTCATCATCCAAATTCTGCCTCAACATTGCGGGAGACACACCTTCTTCAAATCGCCTTTTTGATGCAATTGTCAGCCATTGTGTTCCTGTTATCATCAGTGATGAAATCGAACTCCCATTTGAAGACATTCTTGACTACTCCAAATTTTCCATTTTTGTCCCTGCATCAGAAGCGTGCAAAAAGGGGTACCTCTTGAAACTTCTCAGAGGGGTTAAAGAGGAAAAATGGACAGAAATGTGGGAAAATTTGAAGCAAATTGCACCACATTTTGAGTATGAGTATCCTTCGAAACATGGTGATGCTGTTGACATGATTTGGAAGGCGGTTTCAAGAAAGATATCGAGTTTACATTATAAAACTCATAGGAAAAATAGATATAATAGGTCACGACAATTCTTGAATGCTCGTTAAATTACGCTTTTGCCCTTTTGGAAGATGAGTATTTTTATCTCCAAACGATAGGAAGTTTTGTTGCACCAAATTGTTGTAATATTGGTGTAGACGATCAATCTAGTATGTTATCTTGTTACACCAAAAAAAAAAAAAAATAATAATAACATTTTTGAGTTGATTTATTTTTGTAAGTTTTTTATATTTTAAAAAATATCCCATATTTTATTAGCGTTTTATGATTTTTTACAACATTTTTGTTATAGTAACTTATAAGTTATATTATTAAACAACTATAACCACAAAACTTCATCATACATAAAAGTTTAGCATCAATACGGTGTAAATAAATATTATAACATACAATTTGTATAAATCACGTTGATAAAAAAAAATGATGTTGGGTTAGAGTAAAATAATGCAAAAAATGTTTGTAAACTTTTGATTTGATGTTGAATCATGTCAGATTTAGATAAATTGACAACAAATTTGATGTAGCATAAACTTCGAAGTTCGAACCATATGAAATTAAGTAATTTAAATCGTTTATATTGCTTCTTGTGAACAAAAAATAATTAAAATAAAAACAAAGACTTACATTTTGATTCAAAAAAACACGCAAAAAAAAAAAAGCGGAAACTATACAAAATTTCACGAACATCAGCACCTATTATGAATAGGATCCGCTCCTCTTCGAACCCTTCTTTTGTTTGATTGATATGGATCAAAAGGTGAAGGTGTTGGTGCTATGTTAAACTGTGTGTTTTCTTTTCTTGAAAACAGTCTTCCATGGCTCCATTTTTTAGCAAGATCCATGCTTCGAATAGCATAAACTTTCTCTGAGTGAATAAATAAGAACACGATACACACAAGAGTCATCATTCTGTAAAAACCAACAATTGCCATGATGATCAAGAAAATAGTTATGGAATGTGACTGTTACATATGGAGGAGAGTTTGAATGTTTTATGGGATGTGGATGAAATAAAGGAAGAAAAGCAATTCACGACAATCATAAGCATGGATGATGGTGTACTTTTGGAAGAATGTCACAGGTTTAGAAGACTGACTAGTAGTTTGAATTTGGAAATTTATGAAAGAATGTGATAAAGCTCTAGAGATTGCTACAGATGCAAGAAAGCCTAATAAAGTTAAAGCATGGGTCTTGTTTTTTTTAGCATAATGTGTTGGCTTTATGCTTTTCTTTGTTTGCTAAAATCTTTAAATTATTATGGAATGCAAACAGTTAAGGAAAGCCCGATCTGACAGGCTATACCATTTTGAAAAGGGCCGGGTTAAAGGTCCGCTTAGTGTACCCAGTTATGAAGGCCCGATGACAAATTTATTAATGAAAGTTTTAACAATTCATGTAATTGATAAGTTGTTTTAAAATTGTATGGCAGATGCGTTGTAGTTATTTTTCCATAGACTGACCTAGTATTATTTATTTATTTATTTATTTTTTTGTGACGACTCACGTAAAAACCCATATGATTGAAACAATGATTACAACTACTTTCATGCAGTTTTGTTGTTTAATGTTTGTGTATACTTGTATGACTTGAAAACTTGTTCAAATTGAAACATAAATTGATATGTAAATATTTTGACAAAAATGAAAATTTATAAAATTGTTTTATAAATAATTTAAAGAGTTTCGAAAGATGATTTTGTCAAAATAAAATTAAATCTGTTTTAACTAAATAAAACAAAAATATGTTTGAAAATGCAAAATCATATGTTATCCATTTGAATTACACACTTATTTTAATGTATTTCGGTGTCGGAAAGTGCATTAGCCAAATGCCACATTTAGATGTTAGGAGAGTAAATTGTTGTTCACGATACTCAAGAGTCTTAGGCTGGATGACACCGTATGGTCAAATGGTTGCTTTATTGTCTTGGTTTGTGATCTGTGACACTTCCATCACATGACAATATAAATATAGATAGATTAAACATGTCAATGTTGAATATAAATATAGATAGATTAAACATGTCAATGTTGATATAAGTCATCGAATCTATTGAATATCTAAGAGTTTTATAAATACTAAAATTGGTAAAGGGTTTTACATATCTAAATAATTTCCTCTTATACTTATGACAACCCTCTTCCCATTCGAAAGTAAAATATGGATCTTAACATTTGTTAAAATATTTTTTATAGGTAATTACTTTAAAAAGGGTATAATCAAATCACTAATAAACCTTCATAATCATATAGATGTCTTTAAATGCAAATTCTTCAGTTACAAAATTTTACGGTGATAAGGCAACCCTCTTCCTATCTGAAATATGGGTCTTAGCCTTTGTTAATTTTTTTTTGTTACTAAATTTACAAAGGATCTGATCAAATCACTAAGAAAACTTTATAATCATATAGATGTCTTTAAATACAAATTCTTCTGTTACAAAATTTTATTGTGATATCTCAAATGAGGATAAGGTCAAAGACATAAACCATGTTTGATGGTTTCATAACTTCAAAATTATGCTAAAGTTTGAAATGAAGCTTCATCCAATTGAGAAATTTGTTCATGAGAATCCTCAAGCTTGATCTACTAGGGTTGTTTGAAACAAGAACAAAAGATGTCCTAACGACAATGGCTAATTGATGTGTGGTTTTATATACTAAAAATTAATCAAAATTTATCAAAGTTTTAAATCTATAAAACTGGTTTTATCTCAACTTAACTATAACGCGTACTAGGAAGTGTATATAATCGTAGGGATGAACTTTGGAACCGGACCGGAACCGAACCGGAATCGGACCAGAACCGAACCGGAACCGGACCGGTTCGGAACCGAAACCGGTATTGCGATATCATAAGAACCGGGAACCGGACCGTCAGTTCCGGTCCCGGTTTTTCAGTTATTTTTCCTAACAAGAACCGGTTATAAATAAGGTGAAACTAATGATGATGCAATTCATAATACATACATGTAGTTTAGTTGGTTTCCAAAAATAAAAGACAATTAAACTTCCATATTAAAAAAATGAAAAAAACTCTGCATTGATATGTTGTGTTTCCGGACTTGTATCCGATTCAATATTTAACCAAACTATGACTTTTTACATTCTAAAACTAATTACAAACACTAAATTACACGTTGGAAAAGAAATCATGTAATTCTGACTTCATATGAGTGTGTTACATTATTTTAAAACCGGAACAAACTAAAAAAACAAGTTGAAACAAAACAAAAAAACGCAACATTGATATGCTGTCTTTCGGGGCTACTATATGATTCAACATTTAACCAAAATATGATATTTTACATTTTAAAATTAAGTATAAACACTAAATTACATGTTGGAAAAAAATCAAGTAATTCCGACTTCATATGAGTGAGTTACGGTATGTGCTGAAACAGAAAAAACACAACTTTGATATGTTGTCTTCCGGGGCTTGTATATGATTCAATATTTAACCAGAATATTATTTGTTACAGTCTAAAATGAAGTACAAACACTAAATTACATGTTGGAAAAAAATCAAGTAATTCCGACTTCATATTAGTGAATTACGGTATTTTAAAAACCGGGACAGAATAAGAAAACATGTTGAAACAGAAACAAAAAAAAAAACGTAGCATTGATATGTTGTCTTCCGGGGCTTGGATATGAATCAATATTTAACCAAAATATCTTTTTTTATATTCTAAAATGAAATAAAAACACTAAATTACATCATGGAAAAAAATCAATTAATTCCGACTTCATATGAGTGAGTTACGGATCTTTAAAAACCGGTTCCGGTTTTTTAACCGTTTTTTTGTGGAATCGAACCGGGACTGGTTTTGCTATAAGTGGAGAACCGCTAACCGAACCGTTTTATTAAATCCGGTTCCGGTTCCGGTTCCGGTTCGGTTCCGGTCTGGTTCTGGGCCGGTTCTGGTTCCAGTGGTTCTAATGTTCATCCATATATAATCGTGTAACAGTATAGTTATGACAAGACCATATATCAAACACAAAGGAAACGAGTATCATTTGATTCAGATAATAAAAATTAAACAATAAACAAAAAAAGTAAAAGGAGGAGGGGGGTTGTTTAAAATAAATTAAACTTGATTCAACTAATAAGGAAGAGCAAACAAAAGCAGAGAACTTGATTTAAACAATATATTTAAAGGACTTTCACTTAGGTGCTGTTTGTTTTTTGTCTGCAGATCTTCTTGGCCTCTGTTGGATCAAAATATTGGTTTATACTTTGCTTTTCTAGTTGATTGTATTTTTCTGTAATGTTTTATGAGTTTATG